TCTCTGGTTCGTGTACTGGAGAACAACACGGTGACCTGATCCCCGGGGAGAACAGCCCCAGACGCTGCCAGGAGTGGAGCCACCATTCATGGGAGCCCAGTGCAGGTGGGGCGGCTGGGGAGGGATTTGGGACCGCACAGACCCTGGAGACTAAACTCACCTCTGCCCCCGGAGGGCAAATCCATTGCAGGCGCAGAGTGAGGAGCACCAGCTGGGGGCGCTGTGTGCAATCACAGAGGCCAGGTCATGTGTGGTTGATCCCATGCTGGGTGGGGGTCAGACCCTCGGCGTGTCCTCAGCTCCTGCTCTTCACGCTCTCCCCCTGCAGGAGGCGCTGCCCCCACCACACCCACTCATGCAGCACGAGGAAGCTCTCCCAGAGGGGAGCGGCACAGTGGCCAGGGTGTGCACCGAAGGCCTGAACGGGCTGGAGCTCCTGCAACTGAAGAACAAGGCCGAGAGGCTGTGGCACATGACAGAGGGGCTGGCCGCCTGCTTCAGCCGGGCGATGGAAATGGTACAGAAGCGGCCTGTGGAGCCCTGGACCAACATCCGGCTCGTCCTGCAGAGTGACGGGAAGTGGCTGGAGCTCCGCGCTGACCAGATCGAGCAGACGATGCTGGTCTGGTATGACCCCCACACCGGCACCGTGCGGGAACACCGCATGGGAGCCTCGCGCTGGGGCTTCTGACCTGCGCCTCCTAGCACCATGGCAGAATAAACACCCTGCAACCCAGATCTCGCTCCTTTCTCCTTGTTCTGCCGAGCATTTCAGATCCGCTACCTTCCACTCCCAGGGCGAAGAATCAGGCTCCACTGCAGAGACACACTCGGAGGGCGGCTCTGAGGCAGAAGGAAGGCCAGAAGTATGGCTCCTTCCCTTCCACCTGTGGTCACGCCCCTATTCCGTTCCTTCTGCTTGCAGCCCCGCCCACAGCCTCGCCCCTTCTACCTGCAGGGCCCACCCCATTCTGCTCCTTCCACCTGTGGCCCTGCCCATGGCCACACCCCATTCTGCCTCTTCCCTCTTCCGCTCGCTCCTTTCCGCCGTCCCGTCCCCCCCGCAGCTTCCACACTGGAGAAGCTCTATGTCCCCCGCCGTGGCCCTGGGGCCGCAGTGCAGAATGAGCTCCTCCAGCCACGGGGCCACAGCGGCTAGGGGAGAGATTTTTCCCGTGGCCCCGAATTGGCTGCGGCCCCGTGGGCCCATGCAGTAATCCACCACTGGGGTGACCTTGCCCAAGTCGGTATGTGTCTGTAAAATGGGGAGAATGAACCTGCCTGCATCCATTTAGACTGTAGGGTTTTCAGGGCAGGGATCATCTCGTGCTGATATTGGTTGCAGCCGATAGGTGCCTCTGAAATTTGTGCCACAGCAATCCCGGAGGGAGGGGAAACCATCCCAGACATTAAAAACCAGAAATCCCAGGTGAGGAGAGAGCCGGGGAAGCAGAGGATACTGGTTAATTAAAGCACGGAATTCTATCAATGTACTGCTTGTGAGACTTGTGTGTTCATATGGAGCTCTACTTCTCCCTTCTGCAAGTCCCCTCCCAATGGAGCTATCCTGCAGGACCTACATTCCCCAGGGCTGGGTTCCTCCAGCCCCAGAATCAGATGAGACAGACACACACACACACACACAAAACAGAGCAAGTCTGAGTGCACCGGGTCAATCAGCACTGTCAAGCCGCCCCCGCTCCCATATATGCCCCTGGACTCAGTGGGTTGGGCCAAGCAGCACTTTCAAGCTGCCACTCTCGTATGCCAATGGTTCAGCACGTCCCTATCCCCACTCTCACAGCACAATTGGACTGGTATTAACCCACTTGATGAGCAAACCCCACAGTATTTTTGAGTGCTGCAGGGATCTTTAGCTTAGGTAAAAGAAGCGTTGCTGCAGAGTAAATGGGGAAGCTAAAAACACAAAAGAGTAAAGTTCAGCAAGAGAGAGAGAGGGAAGCAACCAGATTAACCATAAAATTTATTTATTAATTAGCATCAGAAGAGCTGTGTGGGGAATCCAGGGCAGGGATAGCAGTGGGCTGTAGATCGGGATAAAACAGCATTAATAGAGCTGTGGAGAGTGGGGGGATGTTAGCACTGGGGTAGCATTGAGCTGTGGTTCAGGAGTGAGGAAGAACATAAAAAGATAAGAACAGCAAGACTGGGTCAGACCAAAGGTCCATCTAGCCCAGTGTCCTGTCTTCCAACAGTGGCCAATGCCAGGTTCCCCAGAGGGAATGAACAGAACAGGGAATCATTAAGTGATCCATCCTGTCGCCCATTCCCAGCTTCTGGCAAACAGAGGCTAGGGACACCATCCCTGCCCATCCTGGCTAATAGCCATTGATTGATCTATCCTCCATGAATTTATCTTGCTCTTTTTTGAACCCTGTTATAGTCTTGTCCTTCACAACATCCCCTGGCAAGGAGTTCCACAGGTTGACTGTGCGTTGTGTGAAGAAATACTTCCCTTTATTTGTTTTAAGCCTGCTGCCTATTAATTTCATTGGGTGACCCCATGTTCTTGTGTTAGGAGAAGGAGTAAATAATGAGAAGGAGTAAATATTCTATCTTGGGTTGGACTAGTGAGGGCTGGGAACCTGGACTCCTGGCTTCTGTGCCCTGCTCTGGGAGGGGAGTGGGGTCTAGTGGTTAGAGCGGGAGGGGACTGGAAGCCAGGACGCCTGGGTTCTGTCTCCAGCTCTGGAAGGCGAGTGGGTTAGAGCAGTGGGGGTTGAGAGCTAGGACTCCTGGGTTCTAGCCCCAGCTCTGGGAGGGGTACAGGGTTCTTCTCCCTGCTCTGTGCCTCAGTTTCCCCTTCTGGAGCATGGGAACAATCCTATTTATCCACTGTGTGTGTGAGAGAGAGAGAGAGAGAGAAAACGCAGTTTCTCATGCTCAGTTGACAGTTTCAGGGGAAAGCGACACAGACCTGTGTAAAGCAACAGAGGGTCCTGTGGCACCTTCAAGACTAACAGATATATTGGTTAGTCTTAAAGGTGCCACAGGACCCTCTGTTGCTTTACACAGGTCTGTGTCGCTTTCCCTTGAAACTGTCAACTGAGCATGAGAAACTGCGTTT